TTGGGCCGAGTCTTGAAAACCCAAGAGCTTTCAGGACGATAAGCCACCACTCCCCCACTCGGCGGGTGGGGGGGGGCTGCTGCGAAGCTTTGGGGCGCAGTCCCCTCCAAGCACACAGACGTGGGCACACCATTTGACTAGCCGGCTCTTGTCCTGAAACTACATTTCCCATAAGCCCTGACGGCAAGGGGCCGCGTTTGAGGGGAAGGGTCTGCCGCGATGTGTGCTGGGAAGTGTAGTCTCTCTGGACCGTTCCGGCCGCTCCTCCCATTGGCAAGTGGGTCAAGACGAAGACGCCAGGAAGGTGCATCCCACTGTCTTGGGCTTCGGCCGCTGACTCTTAAGCTCACAGGTTCTGGATGTTTTGGTCTTTCTCGCGGGTCGAGTCTCCAGTCTCCTAGTGGGAGGCTCGCTTTTGATCAGCCCAGGTTCTGGGCCTCAGCATGTGGACTAGCGTCCGAGTCGTGTCCTGCTCCCAGCGATGTGTGCGTGCTTGTGTGTCAGACACACTCAGGGGAGTGTGTGTACCTCTCTGTCTCCCTTCTGCTCCCCCACAGCATGTTGCGTGTACGTCTCTCATTGTGGTCTCTGTGCTTCCCCTCCTCTCTGTCACCATTGCCGCCCCCCCCAGCTTCCCTTCGGGTTTTTTCCTATGTACAGTCACTTCACACCTCCGCGCCCCCTTCATCCTCCAAGCTTAGAAGAAAACATCCAAACACTTCAGCATCAGCGTCCCAAATTTATTCTCCAGCAGCGGTGGCCAATGGGAGATGTAAAGAGGAGAGAAGGAGGGGAGGATGGAGTTTCCCAGAGTCGTGGCAGGCAGGGGTGGGGTGGGGATGGGATCCGAGCGGGACTGAGCCATGCACCTGCAGGCGAGCAGGGATGGGTTTAGACGGGGAAGTCTAGAACAAAGGCTGATTGAGAACAGTTGGGGAAAGAGTCCTCCAGGTCTCTCAGGAGCCCCAGAGCCTAGAAGGGGCCACTGGAGCAGGAGGCACAGCCCCCCACTTGCTCCAGAATGTAATGGAGGCGAGAGGGGCCTCAAAGTTGGGCAGGGGGCTGGTTCTGGAAGCCCAGTCTAGAACAGCCTACCCCATGAGACTATTTCCCAGAAAGAAAAAAAGAGAGAGCCACTGAATCTACTGAGACGGAGTCTAGAACGCCATGGGGCCGGGAGGGAGGAGGGGTTCTGGCGCCTGGTGGCGTAGAGTCCAGAACACCGAGGTGGATGAGACTACTCAGCACAGCAGAATCCAGAACACGGGAAGGCTCTAGACACTGTACGGAGGTTAGAATGCCAAGAGCGCTGGGGTGGGCATCTAGCACCCACAGGACAGAGGCCAGACTATTGGAGAGCAAAATATAGAATTAGAAAGGGGTGGCAGTGGGGGTTAAACTGGCGTGGGGGCGAGGGCGGGGGCGACACCTAGCGGCTGTAGGTAAGATTACATGACTGGCACAGGCACTGGGCTGATGGGGCTGCGGGCATCCGGATGCACGAAATCGGGGTTCACGTAGGTGAAGCCTTGGAAATCCGCCTGGTCGATGCTGGCAAGAACTAGGCGGTCCGGAGGGGTCAGCGCAGGCGCCGCCCGCGTGAAAAACTTGTCGAAATTCTCACCACTGCGACCACACTGTGAGAAATACCCAGAGAAAAACTTAGGAAGTTCTGCTCCCTCCTTTGGTGTCCACCTATGCCCCCCATATTCACCTCCTGCCTCCTTTGAGTCTCTGCACACCCTCATAACCTCTGCCTCTCCCTTTAGGGGGGTCTCCCCACAGGAACCCCATCCCACCACCCCATGTCGGTATTGGAGCTCACCCCCACCCCCCACGAATTCGCCCAGAAGGTGACTGACCGGGCGAGGTCTGAATGGGGGTGCAATCTCCAGTCGTTCCAGCCGTTCCCAGTCGATCCAGCGGAAAAAACCGTGGGCACGAATGGTGGGTTCCCCGTCTGGCCCTGAGCCCAGGCGCTTCGCTGGGTGCTTGGTTAGGAACTGTGGAAAACACAGAGAAAGACAGACAGACAGACAGACAGAATCCCAGACAGGGAGGCCCGAGAATGAGAGAGAGAGAAAGACAAGTATAGAGGAACAGAGAGACATCCACATGGGCATCCAGAGAGGGAAAGACAGCAAGGGCGAAAAACGATGGGGCAGGAGGAAGAAGAAAGGGAAGGGGAAAGAGGAGGAGGAGAAAGCAGGAGATGGGTAAGAGGGAGCCACACCCAGAGCCCAGGGGCAGGCAAAGGGAGAGATCAGGACAGAAGCCCAGGCGGGGAGGAGAGGAACAGAGAATGCCCCGCGAGCAGGTGGAGGAGCGAGATTGGAGACCCAGAAGAGGAGAGAGGCCCAGAGAAAGTCGGAGATGGAGGAGATGGAGATGGGGAGCACAGACCCAGAAAAAGAAGAGGATGAAGACCCAGGAGATGAACAGCCAGTGAGAAGCAAAAGAACAGACATGAGACGGAAACTCAGAGCAAGGGGAAAACGGAGACCGGAGAGGCAACAGATCCAGAGAGAGAAGGGAAGACACCGAGTACGGGTGCGCGTTTTTGGAAGTTGGGGGAGGTAACACAGAGGGCAGAGGGCAGAGATTCAGAAGGCGGACAGAGACCCGAAGGACGCACAGGACAGCAGGGACACAGAAGGCCCCGTCATGTGTAGACGGAGGCACGTTACAAGACAGCGACACACAGACAGACAGGAGCTGGAGGCAGTGTGCTGACTTCTCGAAAGCAGCTGGACACTAGCTCTTTCCCCTGAGTTAACCCCCAGAAAGGAAACTGAGGCTCACAGAGTTCCAGGGACTGGCCCATGAAAAGTGGCAGAAGTCAGATTCATTGGGCCCCCCTGTTATGGGGAAACAGGCCCGAACTCCCCTGTACTTCCTGAGTAGTGGGAGGCAAAAAGTCAGAGCAAAGCAGCAGGGGCATAGGTAAGCCCCATGGCTAGACAAGCTCTTCCGGCAGGGAGGAGGGCCACTTGCTTTAAAGTGCCCACAGGCGCCACATGGAGGGCACAATGGGGTGCATGGGTAGTGAGTCTGGAGCATCTGGGAGTCAGGGGTTCTCACCCCCTTGCAGATGGCCACGGCTTCCCGGGACAGCGACTTGGGGTAGGTGACAGTTTGTTCCATGATGGCCTGAAACAGCTCTTCTTCGTCCTCCCCATCGAAGGGGGGCTAAGAAGGGGAGGGAGGAAAGTCAGGGAACTGGCACCCACCGTGAACATGAACAGCCCCCCAAATTCCTTCGAGAGTTTTATCTTTCTCCCTCTCAGACGCCCTCATTTCCTATCTCAGATGCTTCAGCTCGCTGCACCTCTTTGCTGCCCTGTCTCTATCGGGTGTGTAAATCAGCAGGGTGTTAATTAGGCAATATGTCATTGAAAATAGAAGAGAGGAGAAGCTGCAGGGGAAAACTGTAAAAGCATTTTACAGTTGGATCAGTGGTCTCCAGTCTTTGGGGTTAGGAAAAACAACCCAAGGCAAGATATCTTAATCTTTGGGGACTGAGGAGTCTGGGCATACAATCGAGGGGGTCTATGATCTTGGGTTGGGAAAAATACATCATCTTCATCTCTTAAAGTCTCTAATTGAACATTTTCTTCAACTACAAATATAGGCCAAAAAAAAAAAAAAAACTCACAGTAGCACTTGTGACTATCACTAGCAGAAATCAGATATTTTCTTTTTGTATTAGAGATGAATATACCTTAAAATATCAGTCATCTCCACATCAAAATCACTGATAAGCCTTCCTTTTTACTTCCTATTACTGTTAAAACATACTATTTAATTCACTAATAGGAAATACCCTATAGATAGGTCCACTTCCCAGTGTTTAATATCTAGGCAACTGTATACCTTTCAATGAAACATATTTAATTAACATTGCTTTGTAGAGTTTTAATAACCATATTAAATCCTTTTAATAACCTCCTTAAATCCTACTATTTTACTTGTGAATTTAAAAACTTTAAGCAGGAGTCCATAGACTTCACCCGTTACTAATGGAGTCCATGGCACAAAATAAAACTAAAGACCACCTGGCCTGTGCGCAGAGAATGCTTCAGCACCAGGGACAGCGCTAGACGGCTCGAGCTGCCCCGCAGATCCTCCTACCGTCCTATCTGCTCCATATCGCGGATGGGGCCCCATCCCTGGATGCCCTTAAACGAGTCAGCCCCCCTCAGCTTCCCTTACCTGTCCTGCCAACATCTCATACAGCAGGACCCCAAAGGACCACCAGTCCACAGACTTCCCATAGGGCTGGTAAGCAATGATCTGTCGGAAGGAGGCAAAGAATCAGGACTTTGGTCTCAGAAGCCCAGGACCCCTGTCACCTTACCCCGGCCACCCCACCCACTGTGCTTTCAGCACAGACTCTTCCAACTCAGAATCCCTTGCCAGAGCTCCAGCCTTTGGAAAATGTCAAAAACAAACTTTACTTACTCAGAGCATCTCACTGGTTGAAAAAAAAGATACTCTGTGAGGGTCAGGCCACATGCTCCCCTGTTCTAGAATATTTGGGCAACTGGAGCCAGTCCTGACAATATCAGATGCATAGGACTAAACATCAGAGACCTAAATGCATCTTGAATCTGGATGCAATTCAGATTCATCTAGGGAGGTTGTTTAAAAATAGATGTTCCAAGCCCTGAAGAATTTCAGCCTCAATAGACAAGAATATGTGCGTGTTTCAAAAATTTCCCAGGTGATTTTGATTTCCAGCTAGGTTCTGTAACCACTAACATTGATTCCTTGCACGCTAGCATTGAATGCCCTGGGAAGATCAAGGATGGCACCACCAATTCCACCTCCTCTGAGAAAAGTCAGGACACGCTCTCTACCCACTTATTTACGTTCAGATCATTAGCTCCACCCCCTTAACAAAAGCAGAGAACACTCGGCCCACTCGCAGTCAGGAGACGGCCTCCACACACTCCGTGTTCTCGGGAGACAGCCCCACGCACGCAGAGTACACTGGAAATCGCTCCACTCGGCGCCCCGTCTTAGAATAGTCCCGCAACTGTGCTCCAGAATCCTTACTGGTTTGTCCTGCCCACTTTGCCTATTTAGAGACCGAGCTCCGCCCACTCAGAATGTTAGGCCCACGGGCCTCTCTGCCCGGCTACAGCGCCCACCCGAGAATGCCCACCGTGTACATAAGGAGTCCAGAACAACCCCACACACACTAGTATACTAGACAGCCAACCATAGTCACCCAGAGACCATGCAAACACCAAGGGCAGCGGGGTCCCGGGTACCTCGGGAGCTATGTAGTCTGGGGTGCCGCAGAAGGTGCGGGTGGTGGTCCCGGGGAACACGTTCTCCTTACACATGCCAAAGTCAGTGATTTTGATGTGTCCTTCTGCGTCCAGCATCACATTATCCAGTTTCAGGTCCCTGGGATAGGGCGGGGGTGGGGGGTGAGGTTGCAGAAGGGGTTGAGTTCAGCCAGTTTGCTCGCGTCCCCTCCCCCTCCCCTGCAGGCGACTGAACGATCTGTGGCTGCTCACCGGTAGATGATGCCCTGATTGTGAAGGAAGAAGAGACCGATGGCGATTTCGGCTGCGTAGAAACTGGAAAGAGGGTGGGGAAGTCAGGTCAATGGCTGGATCCCCTCCCCCCCCCAATTCCCTCACACCCCCTCCTCCACCACCACCCCTTCTCCTGGCTGAGACTCACGCTGCGTGGGGCTCCTTAAACTTGCCCAACTGCTGAATGTGGTACATCAAGTCGCCCCCGGTGACATACTCCATCACAAAATACAGGCGATCCTGGGGGGGCGGGAGGGGTTCAGAGGCGAGGACATGCCCACCATTGGTTCCTGCCCACTCAGGACGCGTGGGAGGCTCCAGACCCACCCAATCAGAAACCCAGGGCGCCTGGCCACGGCCACGGAGAGGCACCAGTGATCCTAACCCCGCGGCACTGAATCCTCTTCCATCCCACACCATCACACCCAGTTATCAGCTGGTTCAGCTCCGCGCCCTCAGAATGGGAGATTAAGACCCTTCACGCACTGAAAATCCTGGGGATACAACCTCTTCCACACCCACTCACTCACATCGGAAATTCTGGTCACCAAGCCCAAGCTGTCCGACCCTCACCTGCTGGTGACAGTAATTTCTCTTAGCCTGGGGAGCTGGCCGTGCCATGTTGGCAGTGAAGACAGACCCTCCCAAACCCCTCAGGGTCCTGACTCCTCCCATTCCACAATCCTGGGGAAACGCCCCGTTTCTCATGAGTCCTACACTCAGAACCCGAGAGCGAGTGCCTCGGAGCTCAGGGTAGGCATTTCCACTCACAGCCGTTCTCAAAAATCCTTTACTCAGAACACCCACCCCAGACCGAGCTCACTCAGGCCACGCACACTGAGGGGCCCAGCCTGCGCCCCACCCCCGCAGGGTGCCTGCATTCTGCCCACTCTCACCCAGGGCCCGAGGACTCCTCCCATGGCCGGCCATCAGCTGGGAACCTGAAACTGAGCCCTGCTCTATCCATACAACTTGGAGCTCTGGAGTCAGCCTTTCTTCCCTCCTTCCTTACCGGGGTCTGGAAGGTAGAGTGGAGCTGCGTGAGAAAGTGGGGCCTGCCTCCCGGGCCTCGGCCCCCCAGGGCCAGCACACGTTTCTCCACCAGGGTACAGTCCACGTCGTCATCCTGGACAATCACGTCTTTCTTCAGGATCTTGATGGCGTAGAGCTCGTCTGAGCCCCGACGCTCAGCTAGCATCACCTAAGGGTTCAGGGACACGGAGAAACGGAACCACACACCTTCTTATACTCAAAAATCCTTTACTCAGAAACACCCACTCAAGACCAAGCTCACTCAGGCCACGCACACTGAGAGGCCCAGCCTTCCGGCCACACCCTCACAGGGCGCCCCCACTTTGGCACGCCTCTGGGTGGTTCTGGGGACTCAGTAGCCTGGTACCCCTCCTGGCCTTTCCCCCCAGAAATGCCCCAGAAATAGGCCTTCCCCCAGGGCCCTTCCACTTCCCCCCAGAGCCCCAGAATCCAACCTTCCCAAAGCTGCCTTTTCCTAGAACCATGAGGAAACTGAAGTCAGAGATGTGCAGCCGGCCAGGGCCTGCCCCGAAGAAACAGCGCTTGGAGTCCGTGGGACTAGGGGATGGGGAGGGGATTGGAGATGAGGAGGGGCCCATGCGGACCCGCTGCGAGAGAAATGAGAGAAGGGGAAGTCATCACATCCCAGAGAGGAACAAGGACATGCCTGAGAGAGAGAATACCCGAGAGAGGAAGGTGCAGAGAGTAAAGGGCAGGGAGAATCTCCACCTGCTCTTTGGTCCAACAACCTACTCTGACTTCGAGCCAAGAGGGTTTAGTTATTGTTTAGCCAGCCCTTAGCTAGCCTACTCTCTGACATTGAGTCTGGAAAACCCGCCTCATTTTAGGGAAGAGGAAGCTGGCACAGAGACATTAAATAACTTTCCCAAAGCCACACCGTGGGTGGAAAGCAGAGCCAGAAATTAAAAAAAAAAAATCCAAAAAGTTCAGTTCCAGAGTCTCCCTGCTTCCAATTGCTAAGCTGGAATTCTTAAGACTGCTCCCCCACCCCCAGATTTTATGCTTTCTTAAATCTGGGGTGCAGTCTGAGAATCTGCCTCTGTGACGAGTGCCTGAAGGACAGTCACTTGGCTCTAAGTGGCCTTTTCTGGGCCTCGGCTGTCCGCAGGAGGGCGTCCTGTGATACCACCCCAGGGTCCTCGCTGGGCTAGTGTCTAGACCTGTGCGTGGCAACCACCCTTTCTCAGGCATGCTCTACTCAGCGGGCTGAGGGATCAATTTAAAAATAAATAAACTGGGTCATAGGCCCCTTGTGCCCTACGCCTAAGCCTTCGAGCAGCCCTGCGTGAGGTTTTATTCCATGTGCTTTGCAAAACCAGGCACTAATGGGCCCGCAGGGCGCTCTCCTGCCTCCTCCGTGGTCCGGCATCCTGACCTACGCACCCTCCTGCCTCCCACGCCAGGGCTGCCCTGCTCAGGAACGCTTGAACCTCCAGTTCGCTCCCAGTGCACCGCTACTCATCCCTAGCCCTTAACTCCAGGGTCACCCCAGAGAGGCTTCCCTGACCAGGTCAGCGGCCTTCCTCACTGCCCCCGCCACCACGGAGCGCTCCTCCGTCACTTTTCTTAGCCATCTACGTCTGCTTGACGGCTGTTCAGTTCCCGAAGGCTGGGGTGTGCTTGCTCCCTGGAACACGGTAACGGTGCATGGGGCAGAGCCGGGGCCGGACAGGCGTTTATCGAATGATGCAACGTGCGCAGACACAGTCTCACCGCCTGGACACTGGCCCCCACCCACGCAGGGCTGGTGAGGGTGAGACAGATGAGCACACAGAGCGCCGGGAGTTTCCGGGACTCAGATAAGGCCGTTCTGTTTGTTTGTCTTCCAGGCACCTACGGAGTGCTCATGTGTGACGCCCAGAGGGAATCGCAAGGAAATGAAGCCACCGCCATGTACACCTATGTTACTTAGTTTTGTTTTCCCAGAGCAGAATCCCTGGTTTCCAGAGGAGCCTGGGAAGCCTCAGAAGATGGAGGGAGCAAGACAACACCCAACTTCTCTGTAGTGGCCATTTCGGGACCAGCCACCAGCAGCCACGCTGTTACTCAACTCTCCACGTCCCACACCTGACCCCCGGTCCCTGTCTCCCTGCCCCCGGGTCTCTACCCACATCTTGCAGGTCTTCGCAGACTGACCTCCGTCAGCTAAGTGCACAGGAATGTCACTGCTGAGAGACCTCAGAGGCTCCACGTCTGCACCTGAATTTCCTCCTTGGTCTGCCAGCACACCAGCCAGCTCGCATGCAAAACAGCCCCTGGGGGTTTGTCAGTCTGTAGGAATTTGAGCCTCAGTGAGACCACAGAAATGTTTTGCTTGTTTTTTCTCTCTCTAGCGAACACTCCTGAACGCCCCAGTGCTCGCTCCTGCATCCTTCTCCCCTCCTGGGGACAGGAAGCCCACTGGCGATTCCTGTCTTTGGGGTCGTAAAAGTCACCTCTCCGGACCGCCTCCTAGTTGGGGGGAGCGCTAAAGGCCCCCGTGGCCCCACAGAGGTGACCGGTGTTTCCGGGTTCTGAGCCGCCAGAGCTCTGAGCTACCTCAAGCCAGAGTCTGCGTCCCCATTCTCCCTGTCTCCACTGCCCTGGCTGCTGGCAGGAACAGACCTCAGCACGAGGGCATGTGGTGGACAGAGGTCTGGGAGGACAGGGCGGCGCTGCCGGGGTGGTCAGCTCTCCCTGGGAGAGTCCCTGTCTCCAAAGGAGCCTCCCCTCTGCCACCACGCTCTCCCTCCTTCCAGCAGCCCTCGTCCCTCTGTTCTCGGCAACACAGCTCGGGTCCTCTGGACGTCCTCCCTTCTCACCAGGTTTAGCATCAAATTCCTCCCAAGGACCCACGAGGCACCCGCTTTCCCTCTCCTACCTCTCAGCCTCGCCTCCCGCTCCCGTGCTGCCGAAGGCCCCCGGCCAGCCAGCTCTACCCCGGGGCCTCTGTGCGTGGCCCCCAAGGCCTTTCTGCACTCTGCCCGCATCTCCCTCTCGCCTCTGCTATTCAGTCGGCCCTGCGGTGGCCTTCTCAGGGAGGCCTGCTCCGCTCACTGCGGCTGAGGTGCTGGGCATGTCCCCTCGCACCCCCGGCCTCCCTGCTGTCTGGCTGTCTCCCTAGCAGGCGTCGCCGTCGACCTACAACCGTGGTGGCGCCGTGGTGAGGGAAGGCCGTGTACCTGACCGTGGTCTCAGCTGCACCGTCCATTTGAGGGTACAGCGGCTGCACCATCCGGCCCAGGAACGCAGCAGCTAGACTCTGCCTGGAGGAAGTGGCCTCGGGATGCCCGGCGGTGCCCAGCGGTGACGTGCCCCTGGCTGCATTAGCATTTACTTCGTTCTCTGACTTTACTCTGCTTCCGCTGAGTGTGAGTCCCAGGAGAGCAGGGAGTGGTTTATTTTTCCCTGTCTTGCCTGCTGTTGTGTCCCTTGTGACTAGGATCAGGCCGCAACAAATTGGTTTTTGAAAGAGTAAGTGAGGGAGAGAGCTTTTCTTCTGAGGGTCTGGAGTCTGGCTTCCCTCCCCTTTGCGCGGGCTTGGTACACTCCCTGGAAGCTTCCCCCACTCTCCCGCAAGGGGCCAGGGGCTTTGGGGCTCCTGCTGCCCACTGTTACCTCCAGTGCCCAACACTTTTCTTAGGCGTGAGTGTGTCTGTAATTTTCTCCTACATGGAGAGAGGAGCTCCCCAGGGAACGGCCTGGTTCTCCTCCCAGAACAGGGCTTGGCTTAGGTAACACTTCAGGAAATAGGTGAGAACATGAATAGCAGAAAGGCCAGAGGGACAAGGAAGGAGACAGGAGAACTCGAGGTCGCCAGGAGTCACCCCTGAGCAGCCCTCCTGCTGCATCCGTCCCCAGGCTAGGTCACGCCTCCGCTCTCCATCCCTCAGTGTCCTGGGCTACATCTAGTGAGTCACGCCTTCCTGGCATTTATGAATCTGGGACTGTCTCTGCTTTGGGGGGCTGCTTGAGGCACAAACCCCAGCTGGGGCGATCGGGCTACCCAGCCAACACAAGCTCTGCAGCACATCAGCAAGTGGAAACAGCCCAGAGGAAGGGAGAGGTGGAGAGGGCCAAAGAGACCTCAGCGACAACTCTTGTTCACAGCCTCGACTTACCTCGTACAGTTCCAGGGGGTAGTTGCAGGCCTGGGGAGGAAAAGCCAGAGTCAGAGCCCCCGAAGAATTAGCGGGTCGCCCTAAAGCACATAGTGGGAACCCCCAACACTCCCCAGCTCTGAGATGCAGAGGAGTTACAGTTCCCATCAGGCCCTATGGCAGGAGGCCCTCAGAAAGGCGGCCAAGCAGCCCCAGGGTCTCTCAGGAATTGTAACTCTAGGACCAGCAGGCATCGAGGAGGCTGAGGACCCGGCCAGCTCAGAATCGGGGGGCTGGGGACTCTCCTTGTGGGCAGCCACACTCTGGGTACCTCAAACTTCTGGAGGAGGCTGCAGTTGTCAGCGTCGGCCACCGGCACATTGTAATATTCGCCCTCCTCCTGGTTCAGTAACTTGTACCTGACACGCAGACAGAGACCGGAGCGGGGCGGGACAGCCAGCGGGAGAGGCAGAGACAGAGAGGGGGCGGAGAGAGACACCAAGGAGGACAGAGATGGAGAGAAAGAGTGAGATAAAGAGAGGGAGGTGCGGGGAGGCCTCAGGGGAGACCACACAGAGACACCGAGGAGGGCGCCAGGCCCTGCCACTCACCAGCCATCCACGGGCGCCTTCAGCAGCTCCGAGACCCCAAAGGACATGGCGCCCATGAAGTCGTTGCGGGAGGTCCGGTCCCAGTCCCACACCTCCACGCTGAGCCTGCGCTCCACATCCCCGGGCTTCAGGTTGCTACAGGCGGGTGAGTGGGGTCAGGGCCAGCACCCAGCACCCCCCGCTTTGTGCTAGAGAGAGACTGCAGACATTGCGGGTGGGGGCGCCTGTGTCTCCCCACCGCCAGTCGCCATGAAGGGGGGTCTCTCTCCCCTACAGGCCCTAGGAACACCTGCCCGCTTTCTCCCCACAGCTCTCTCTCTCCCTCCCATCCTGGCCTTTCCCTCCAGATCTCGCTCATTCTCTTTCCCTGTCATTCTCTTTCCACATGTCTTCTTTTTCCCTCCCGACTTCCCATCTACCCAGCATCACCACCACCATCCCTCTGCCTGCACCCCCACCACCCCACCTGAGCCTTTTGTCTCTGAGACTGCTGTCCCTATCCTGCGGACAAACCCTGTCTCTCTCCCTTTCCCTTTCTCTATCTTCCCTCAATCGCTCATCTCCTTTGCCCTACTAACTTCTGCGCTGGGAGGGGAGGACTTCCCTCTGTCCTAACACCTGTTCTCTAGGGTCCTGTGGGCCCGAGGACCCTCAGGGTATTCTCTCCCGGTCGCCAAAGCCTCCCTGCTTCTGGACTCACAACACAAAGGTCTCGTTCCACACAGGGTTTAGCGTGGCTTTCACAGTGCGGGTCTTCTGCTTCGTCAAGTTCCGAGGGTCTGGGATGAGCTTTAGCTTCACATAGGGGTCAGACAGACCGTTGGGGTCCATGGGGATAAGGTTGCGGGCCTCTCCGACTGAGGGGGAGGGAAGGAAAGTGGACTGTGTCAGGAATCCAGGAAAAGGCCCCTTCCTCTCTCCCAGCCAGCAGTCAAGAATTGCATGTCCTCTTGTCTCCCTGGTGCAGGGATTAAAGTCAGCACAATCAAGCTAGGCAGCCAGCCACTGTGGCCAGAGTTCAATCCCTGGGGGAGTGACCCACACAGCCAAATACCTCTCCTCTCCCTTCACCAGTGGATTTCAATAGACCCACCTGTTCTGCTCCCCACTCTGTCTCTCGTGAATCCTCTCACACATATGCACCCCTGCTCCTCTGGCCTACATCCAAGTTGTTATAAAAAATAAATGAATCTTAAAAAAAAGCATCAAGTTGGAGTACTGTCTAATTCCATACACAAAAATAAGTTCCAAGCAGGCTAGGGATTTAGATGTAAGAACTGCAACAACCAAATCCTTAGGAGAAAACATTGGCAATACATTTCATGATATCAACAATAGAAATATTTTTCGTGACTCAACCCTATGGCAAGAGAATTAAAAAACAAAAATAAACAATTGGGATTACTTCAAGGTGATTAAGTAGATACCCAACTGAGAGAGAGGAAATAGCCGCACAGTGTATAACTGATAAGGAAACAATATCCAAATTATGGAAAAACTGCATGCAATTCAACAGCAAAAAAAATCCAAATAACCCAGTGAATGAATGGATCCCAAGAATGAAGAGAAATTCACCAGAGTACATCCAGAAGGTCAGACGTGTTCAGCAGCACGTCGAATATGAGCGATGCAGATTAAAACTGCAGCAAGATACCATTTCACACCCTTGAAAAGGGCACATATTAAAAAGACCCCCCCGGGGCCCTCCCTGGTGGCGCAGCAGGTTAAAGCACAGCAGTAAGAAACTAAAGCCACTTCCTCAGGAGTTCAATCCCCGCCTGCGCTGGAGGTGACCACATGGCGCAGCAGACCTCGTCTGGCCCGCCCGCTGCTCCCCTCAGCAGTGTACTTTGACAATCTGCCTGTTCTGCTCCCCGCTCTGTCTCTGGTGAAGCCTCTCACCACCCCTGCACCTCTGCCCTGTACCCCAGTTCTGTATGCACAAATAAATAAATCTTAAAAATAAAAAAAAGACCCCCCAACAAGAAGAACTGGAAAGGATGCGGAGGAGAGAACCGTATGACACTGGGGGGGGGGGGTGTTGTAACCTGGTGCAGCCATATGGAAAGCAATCTGGATTTACCTAAAAAACACTAAAAAGGGAAGCACCTAGGGCCCAGCAAGCCCACTCTTGGGCATCTACCCACAGAACTTGAAGCCAACAAAAAGCACCGTATGTCCTACAGCCCACAGCGGCATTATCTACAGCGGCTGGGGCACGGGGGGACCCTAATGTCCCCTGCAGGATGATCGGATCAGGATGCATGTACACGATGTAGAGTATTCTACAGCCGTTAAAAGGACGAAATGCAGTTATTTTCAAGAAATGGGGCAACGTTTTCAAAAGCTAGTGGACATTAATAAACACTCTACGAGCTGAGGGCTGACGGAGGACCGGGAAGGATAAGGGGACGGGGTGGTGGGGGCGGAGAAACGAGACCCCAAGCCCCGCCCTCCCTGAGCACCCACGTGTGGGGACTGGCCATCTCACCCACGGAATGGCCCAGCGACTCTCGAAGCGCCTTTTCATCCCTCCCTGTCAAGCACCTGATGCCCCAGAAGGCCATTAAGAGACTCTAGCGGCAAGTTGCAGAGGCCCTATGAAGGGGGCGTGGCCAGGGCGTCCGGCCTTCAGGGGCGGGGTCAGGAGCATGGGCGTGGCCTTTGGGTGGGCGTGGCCTTTGATGGGCATGGTCGTTTGGGGCGTGGCCTTTGGGTGGACGTGGCCTTTGGGCGGGCGTGGCCTTTGGTGGGCGTGGCTAGCGGCCTGGCACTAGGGGTCAACGAGCTGCCCACTGGATAAAAGGCGTAGCCCGCGCGGCCTCACCTGTGACGTGGATCTCATCTGCGGTGGGGGCCCGGATCTCCAGCTGCAGCCGCCCGCGGCGCTCCGTGTGGTCCACGCCGCACAGAGAGGGCACGCTGCGCACACAGCGCCGATGCACATTCATCTCGCAGCCTGGGGAGACAGCCCGGGTAGCCTTGCAGCCCTCGCCCCCGGCCCCAAGCTCCCTCCCCTAACGCTTCCAAAACGTAGCCGCTAAGCCGTGGAAGAGGCTCCGGAGCCCAGTTCCGGGGGCACAGCCAGTGCAGACTCACAGGAGCATTTCATGCCCTGGTGCACCAGCCCGTAGAGGAGGGAGCCACAATGGTCGCAGAAGGTGGGGCTGCTGTAGCTGTGCAGGCGGAATTTGTGCTTGTTCCGGGGGTCCTGGGGGCAGAGAGGGATAGTTCAGAAGGGCTTCGGCCTCCACAGACCACCCGGCCCGGCCTCCGCAGCTCCGCAGTGCCTTCTTCAGAAGACAGGAAAACCACCCCAGCCTTTGCCCTCCTTGGCATGGCATAGATGGCATCAAGGTACCTTTAGGTCAAGATAACTTAGGAACAATGACATTCTTATGGTCAGTGACTCATTCTTTTCCTTCTGCATGAATGCCACTCCATCACAAGTACATAAACTGACTCAAAATTACACTTGTCAGCGTGGTTCTCAGAAAAATATCTGCGACCGCCTCCCCGCTCCGAAGGCTCACTTTGATGACCTGATGGATCTGAGTAACTGGCACTAAGACTTTTGTTTCAGCAGCTCTCTGACCGTCTGTGTCTACGCAGTCTCTCTCCCTTTTCTCCTTTCCTTAACTCCAGAGTGCTGACGCAGGGGGTGGGGGGGAGCCTTTCATTTTATCTCACAATATGCTGGATGGTAACAGAGCTCTGGAAGAAAACGAAACAAGACAGAGGATGACAGCACAGGGTGGGGGTTGATCCCCTGACAAGGTGGTGTTTGGGCAGAACCTACCGGAGGCCCCCAGTGCCCACCAGCCCCACCCCCACTAAGCGCTTCTCTGAAGACTCGTGGTCCACCATGAACCCCAGGTAGCTCACTGTCAGCCTCTGCTGATGTGGGCTTGTGTGGGTCTGCCAGACGAGCGGCCTTGGCGGCCTGCCGTCCTGCCTTCCTGTACAAGGTCAGAACTGCCCTCCAGAAACCGGTCAGTCATAGGGCCAAACCTGACAAGATGCTTATCAAGTCACTCAAGAGCAGAAATCTTGACAACCCCTGGGAAGGGCTTCCCAAGGCATGCCAGGGAACGCCAGGGGGCTGAGGACTCCCCGCTCATGCTCACAGGGCCCGCGGGGAACGCCCAGGGGCTGAAGTCTAATGCGTAAGCTTACCCCTGACTCATACGTCACAAGGCATGACCAGAAATGCCAGGGACCAAGAATCCGTGTCTCTGACAGGCACAAGCTGGTAGGTGGACACCTGCCTGTTGATAAGATCAGAACCTTGGGGGTGGGGGGAGGGCCCTGGGTCTGGTTTCAATGACAACACTTGGTCTTCCAGCCAACAGCGATGATCTGGCCAGCAGACTCCGGTGCCCCCAAGCCTAGATGATGACGAAAACACACTCTTGAGTCTCACCCGCCTTTTCCTCCTGGTCCTACACCCTCACTGATGCTCTATGATTGTTCTATCAGAAGACCAGGATTCTGCTGGCTCGGCAGCGTCCTGCACTGTGAGCCTGCACCAGGACGCCCATGCGTCAGTGTGGTGCCACCGACGGAAGAGGCTTGGTGGCCCGCTTCCTCTGAGTCCCTCGTGGGATGGACACCATGACCTCTCAGGTATAGGGAGTCAGGCGGCCGAAATGAAATTGGAGAGTTCCAGCGTGCAGCAGGCCCTGGCGTGTGACATGTGCTCACTCAGTACTCCGCGGCCGTTACTGCCGCTCTGGTTATTAGTAGTGACCGGTTGCAGCCCCACATAATCCCAGGCTCAATGAGAGCTAGGCCATCTCCCAGCTGTGTGATTTGGGCTAGCCCTTCCCCAGTTCTGAGCCTCAGTGTCCTCCCCGGCCTGGAGGAGATCAACAATCTATATCCTGAAGCAGTGCCGAATGTCCAGCATCCAATTAAACATGAATTTAGGGCACTGGCTAGTCTTCCTCCCTCCACCCCCAGAGACGTCTGAGTGTTCACTAATTTGATATTTGCCATTTTCTAAGATGGCATTGCAAGTGTTATCCTAGGGTGGAAATTCAGGACGCTGAACTTCTGCTTTACAGTTTAGGGGGAGGATTCTGTTTCGAATTATATTGGGAGGGGGACTGGAAGTTACCACAATCTCTTTCAATGCTTTGGGCCTCGAAAGCAGACCCTAGGGGCTGACTCTAACACAGAGGATGCGGGAATGAGATACTGGGCATGAAAGCCCCAGCAGGGTGCCCGGCACATACTTGGCCATGGCCCCATGGATAGAAGCTTGGTCCAAATCTCAACTGTGCCTCCCACCCAAATGTGCAAGTCTCTCCCCCACCCCAACATGCAGATTCATCTGGTAAAATGACGGCCACCAGCCATTCCTGGAAAGGGGTCCCTTAGGCAGACGAAATAAAACGCTAAGTCCTTAGCACATCTTAAGCTCCGGATCATGTTCCTTACAATGAGATCAAAAGCATTAAGTAGAAAAAAGTAGCCGGCATGATGGAGAGGAAATACTTCTCTCCCGTCACTATTCACCTGGCAATAGGAACAATTTTAACATTAATAGTAATTCCTCTTTTGTCTCTTGCTAAATGTCAGCTAGTGTCCCGACGATGGGACTCGCTGAACCCTCAGAAGAATCTGATAAGGTGGGCATCCCCATTTAGAGAGAAGGCACTCCAGACATGCAGAGGAGGGCGAGGCCATTTAGAAGGACACAGAACCCATCTGTGGGATTTTAATCAGGGGTCCCACCTCAGGAGCCTCCGTTCAGATGGAGACAGGAACAACGCTGAACCCCTCTGCTGTGGGGAGGCTCAGCCTGTTCCCTACGAGGTGCCCGACGAGCACTGGGCCAGTCAGAGGCAGTGCTGGCACAGGCGTGGGCAGGTGGGGCGGCCAGTCAGCTGCAGGCACAGGTGCTGGTGGCTGGGCGCTCCGGTCACCCTCTATGCGTACTCGCATGTCCAGCTGCCAAGCTGCTGGAGGGCCTCACGGCTCCCTGTGGGTCCTCTGTCTCTCCCCCTCTTGCTACTAAAATTGTCCAAACCTGTATCATGCCCTGGCCTAGACACTTCACCCATAACCTGCCTGACTTCCTAGCACGGTCAGAACAAGCCTGGGAGTGTCCAGCCAGAGGCTGGCTTGTGGGTGCCCAGGTATCTAAATTTAAGTGAATTACAACGTAACGGAATCTCGATGTCCATCCCTCCCACAGGAGCTAGCTGTGCATGGCTGCTGTGTGGGACTTCCACAGGGCGCTGAGTGATCTCCACTGCCAGTGCTCTATGGGGCCACACCAGCCCGAGCCCCATCTGAGAGGGGGGAAGCTGGGGTCCAGGGAGAGGAGGGCCGGGGAGGGGCCCAGGGGGCTGACTGTTGTTGTAAGTCCCCGATGAGGGGGAGGAGAGGGTATGTGTGCGTGGGGGTGTGCACGGACCTGAGCGTCCGTGCTTGGCTCTCTCTGGGCGCCTCTCTCCCAGCACCCCTAGGCTGGGCCTTTAGCTACCGTTTCACGCGCTGTCTTCCTCTGGGTACCTGTGTCTGCCTCTGCCTCTCCAGGTCTCCCCTCTGCCATCCTCCCGTGTGGCTGTCTCTGACCCATCCCCACCCCCAATCTCTGGATCAGGTTCTGTCTTTTTCTGCATCTCTGACACTCCATTTTATGTCAGGGTCCCTACTGAATCCACATATTTCTTTCTCAGTCCTGGCTGTCCCTTAAATCTCTCGGTTCCTGGGTCACAGCCCCCCCCCCTTCAGCGCTCATCTTTGGTTTCCTCACCCTGCCACCTCTGTCCCCTACCTGTGTCCCAGGCCTACCTCAGTCCCCCGCCCATTCCCCCTTTCCAGGCCAAGGGCAGGGAATCTGGGCCAGACTAGCTCCCCCTCTCTCTCCAGCCCCCCTCCCCGCCCAGCCATAAAAATAGCAGGAGAAATTGGGACGGACGCTGAGGGGGTGAGGGCGGGGGCGCGGCCCAAGGAGGGAGAACCAGGTGTCCGGGCACTCACGTCCGTCTGGGGGCCTTTCCCGGCGCCTGGACACTCGAAGGTCACAAATTCGTGGCATCGTCGATGAACCACAAAGCTGCAGACTGAAGGTGAGAATTATAGAGATACCTCTGAGGACAGAAAGAGCCAGAAAGGGTCCCCCACACTGACTCTCACAGAGCATCAAAGGCGGTGGGCACTCGATGAGGAGCCAGCAGATGGAAAAGCAGAGTGGACCCAAAGACAGAGGCACCCCAGTGTACACCCACTAGGCAGCTAGAGGGAGACAGACACAGAGGGAGACTAAGGAAGGGGGGAGAGGGAGAGGGGGAGAGAGCGGGTCTCTGGCAAACACAGGCACTCAGGAGATGAGAAGAGCCAGGCGCTGCCGGAGAGGACTGGGAGGACCAAGGGGACAAAGGAGGAGCCAGCATCGGGCAGAAGTGAGTCGGGGGCGCGCTGCGGGGACCCCGACTCACTGTGTTCTGAGCAGTGGCAGCTGGTGTTTGGAGATTCGCCCCCTCCTGCCCCTCATAACTGCAGGCCCCCACCCGCCCCTCAGTGACCCCACCCCGCCTGGCCCTGCCTAGGACAGTGGGTGTCGTCATGGTGACAGCAGCCTGGGGGGGGGCTCTGACTTTGCCTCTCCAGGCCCCCCTCCTTTCAGCTCCCCTTTTCCAAATCGCCCTGTTCCCATGGCAACCGATTCTCCAAATATCTGTCCCCACCTGGAGCGGCCGCGGGAGGGGCCCCCAGCACCACCTCCGCTGGCCCCTTCGACAGATCTCCCTCCCCAGCGCAGGCTGTGTCTCTGCCACACCCCCCGCCCAGGGCTCCCCCGCGCCTCTCTGGGGACCAGAGAACACGTGTGTCAGGCAGCCTCGGCAGTGGGGCCCCAGCCTCCGCCCTCCTGAGGGTCCCAGAAGTCCAGGCCCCAGCTCTTACCTTGACACTGCAAGCCCTGTTTTCCAATCCCCCTGCCAAGGGTCAAGGATCTGAGGTCAGTGCAGAGGAGGGGACCGGGCCCTGCCCCTGCCAGCCTGTGTCCACCCCCACCCCCCTCAGACCCAGAGTCTAAGCCCCAGCAACCGCCTCTTTGCAGAACCTAGGAAGTCTGGCCCTCAGCCCGCCCCTGGCAGACCCAGGAGCTAGGCGCCCGGCCCTCCTCCCTCTGACACCGGGCTCAGGCTGCTGCCCCCAGCTCCAGGACCTGAGCGGAGCTGCAGACCCCTTTCCCCTGCCGTGGCAGTCTACCCCAGGCCCCTTCCCTCACCAGATGAAATCGGTGCAGTGGCTGCAGAAGGTTGGCTGTTTGAAGAAGCGAGCGGTGAACTTGTGGCTCTTGACTTCGTGGACCACCTTCTGCCTCAGAGCCCCCTTTCTGCAAAACAGGGGCCGGGGTCCCCCCTCGGAATCGCCTCCGCCGGGGCCGAGGCCTGCCATGGCCGTGGCAGCCAAGCCCGGACCAGGACCCGGCGGGTCGGGGAAACAGGTGGACGGGCGAGGAGCCGGGCACTCGGAGACCCAAGGAGCCCGGGAGCTCCCGCGGCGCGAGCAGAGGGGCGAGGCCGCCAGGTGCGGAGGGAGCGTGCGGGCCGAAGAGCCGCACCCGGGGCACGTCCGCTCCGCCAGGGGGAGTGGGCGAGTGGGGCGAGGATCCCAAAGCAGGGGCGAGGGGAGCCGGAGGCACGGGCGGCGGCAGCTCCAGCGCCCGCACCTGCTGAAATGTGGGAGCCCGGGTTTGGGGGGAGGCGTTGCCAGGACGACCGAGGGGCGGGGTTTCGCTTAAAGGAGCCCCCCCCCTCCCTGAGACGCGGGACCAATGCCCTCCCCCCCCCCACGTGCGCACACCTACTCCAGGAGCTGGCTGGAGGCAGGGGACAGCTGAGCACCCCCAATCTGTCACCCAAGCCCTGCTAGGGTGCCTGGGGGTCCTGTTAACCCTCCGCCCCGCCACCGCAACCAGGTCTCTGGGCCTGGCTGTGTCACTGTCCGAGCCACAAACTTTGTCCCCAGGGCTGCGGGTCCCCTGGCACTGCGGGCTCGCGGCCTCACCGTCTCGGGGCCGCCCAGGCGTGCCTCGCCCTCTGGGCCCGGGAGTTTCCGTGCTCGTGGGGCCCTGGGGAGAGGCTGGTACTGGGGGGCTTCACCCTCTCGGTCTTCGCTGGAGCCAGGCGTCTGCTTCTGCCTGGGGTTGGTCTGGCTCCCCTTGCGCCCCAGGACGTGGGCTTCTATTCTCTGGAGGCGCTTTTGCCTTGTTGCTTTCAACTGTCTCCTTGCGTGTCTGCCACCATCCGTGAGCCTCTCTGGGGTCTGCCCCAGCCCCGCTCTTGGAGGTTCACTGCCCCCGCTTGCCTCTCCCCTTGCTGCCTCCCCTCCCTCGTGGTGAGCGTTCGTCTCTCCCTGTCTATCTTGGCAGGATTCAGACGGACTTGCCTCTTGTCCGTCAGCATCTGCCCAGGGTCTCTGACCTACTCCTCGGCTCTGTCCATCTGTGTCGGGCGGGGGGTGCTCCCCGAACGTTTCAATTGACCTGTCGCCCTCTCCTCGAGCCCCTCCCCCCATCATCTCTGTCCAGTTCTCACCCACTCTGCGAATCCCTGAGCTTCCCCTTTCGTCTCTGGGGATCTCTGCGATTCAGCTCTGTGCCCCTCCCCCCACTTTTCTCCACGGTGTGGCATTCTCTACATTCTCCCGGTGTCCGAGGATGGAGGGTCTCGGGCGAGCCTCCCCTCCGCGAGGGCGACGCCCGCCAGCCTGGTCACACTCCGTCCCTCCCGCAGCTCCCGAGCGCCTCTCGCTCCGGGTGGCTCGCGGGCGTGCCGCTCTGTTGCCACGGGTAACCACGGCCCGCCCCGGGCTGCGGGCGCAATGCATTCTGGAACTCGTAGTCTCAGCAGGCTGTAGGGCTGCGCTCGCGTCGAGGGAGAGAACTTCCTCTCCCAGAAGGCCCCGCAACACGAGGCGGGGCGCAGGGCCGGCGGGGCGCGGGGCGGGGCCTAGACACTGGACGCTGCCACACCTTCTTGGGGACTGTTTTGGGGCCGGGATGAGTGCTCCCAAGCCCAAAGAGAGGCGAGCCTCCGAGCCTACCCCTAATCATGCAAACAGGGGGCCCAGCTGCCTTCCAGCCCTCCAGGCGCCCGCAGCCCCCGTGGACCGAGTACAGAGGGTGCGGATGGCCCTGGGCCTTCCATGCCCGCTCTCCTGAGGTTCCTTGCGAGCATCACCAGCACCCAGGTTCCAATCTGTTTTGTCTTGTGCCTTCTGAGGGGCTCAAGCCCGGGGTTGCTTTTGCGGGTATAAATGCAGAAAATGAAATGCATGTCCCCCAGATTTATATATTTATGTATTTGTGATTCTCAGGCTGGACAAAAGGGCAAGATGACCTTCAATGGGAGATTAAAGGCAGGAGTAATTCACTTGATCTTTGGTTTTCTGTTGACCAAGTGTGCAGAGGAGGAGGTGGTAGTGGCAGCTGAGGGCAATACCCTTCAGATGAAAAACAAATGGAACTCGAGCTGGGTCGGGAACCTGGAGAACAGGACAGATGCCAATAGTCTTCAAGGAGGCAGAATAGTGTTTGTTGAGCCACTACCTGACAGAGAAGGCAGTAACAAGTCCGTGGGTTCTCTGCCCCGGGATGCTAATCCCTGAGAAGGGGATTGATTTTAGAGATGCTGCACTCCACTGGACACTGATTATCTGAGGCACTCCAGGACTCTGTGGAAGGAGATGTCTTCCTTTCTGTCCTAACCAGCATTCCTGGCTTGAGAGGCAAACTCGAGATCCAAACTCAGCTGTTGTCTGATGAAGCTAGAGTTATGCAGGCCTGCCTCAATTCCCTCCTCCAACCAGACCCAGAAATTTCTATTTGGAGCCCTTCCCAGTAACAAAGCAAGCAGTTTTTCTTTAATCTTTATATTGAGGTAAAAAAAAAAACAACAACAATACCAAACATTTTGAATGTGGAAGCGGGAGAGGGGATAAGGCCTCCCTTTGATTGACAACATGAGCTGCTCCAGAAGCTCCACGGAATTAAAAAAAAATAAAATATATTTATACATTTATATATATATCACATTATGCGTGAGTCCCAGGGAAGCAGGCAGCAGCAGGAAGCAGCTAGCTCACAGAAACACGTGTGTGCACCATCCACTCTCGCAGTGCAGTTGTGACTATGATAGCAACAGTTCCCCCCACAACAAAAATTTTTTGAGAAATTTTCCCTTAATAGGGCCACTGTCATGTTTGCCTTTGAGTTCAAGACAAAGAAAAAACAAAACAAAAACACAAACACCTCTCGGCCTTAGGGCCAACATTGCCTCTAAGGCCGGCAGGGGTCATTTTCTTGTCCCCCCCGAGGGGAAACAAGCTACTTTAACAAACAGGCTGCGGGGCCATCCCACAGCCCCTCCAAATACTTGGGGCCATTGTCTTCAAGACAGCTCCACACTTTTCCCATACTCTGGAGAGTGGTTGGGATGAAGGCCATCCCCACTACACCTTTTAAAATGGCCTCTATTCAGTGGGCTTTTGTAAGCCAGGCAAAAATTCTGGATCTAATGGCTGCCGGCAGGAGGGGCCTAGGGACCCAGGGTCTGTGCTTGAAGCCTCCCGCCCACTGGAAATGATGGCCCTCCAGAGACTGTTTGACTTTAACTTAAAGGGAGGTGCACTGTGCACCCCTCCCGTGGGAGAAAGGGCGCCCGATCCATAACTCCCTACCCCCACCCCCCAAACACACACGCATACACACTAACTAAGGCACAGCCACAGGGCGGGCAGGCATGCTTTGGCAATGAGGCCCCCTGGGAGGCCCTGGGCATGAACAGCTGAAAAGGGGGGGGTGTGTTGTGGAGCTCAGCACCTTTGGAGGTGGGGGTGGAGGGAGAGAAAAAAGTAGTGTCAGGGGTCGAGGAGGAGAGTATCAGAATCAGAGGAGGCGGTCAGCAAACTGGCAGAGGAGAAAACAACTAAGACCCACCAGGAGACAAAAAGCAGAACTGGTAGAAGAGAAGTGGGAGGGAGAGAGTAACAGGCCGCAGGCCAACCTGGCCTGGCCGCGCAAAACAGGAAGGTAAGGAGAGAACTACAGAGAGGAGGGAGAAGTGAAGAGAACCAGCAGAGGCTTCAGGAAAGCAACAGACGGGAGACAGGAAGGGGACGCCAACTCAGGGACGCCAGCTCGGAAGAATGGCGCCAGAGGGGGCAAGCCCAGAGCCTCGCCTCAGACCCTGACAAACACCAGGTGGGCCGAGTGCACCAGGTCAGCCACATAAGCCAGCAGGTTGATGGCGGTGAGGATGGCCACGGCCAGGCGGCGGTCCCAGCTGCACACGTAGTGGGTGTGGCTTTTGCCACAGGACACATCCCTGGACCGCCAGGGGTCACCGCCGTACTTCTCGTCGAACTGGTAGAGGGGCCAGAGGACCAGGGCGGTGGCATACATGAGCACAGAGAGCAGAGCCAGCCCGGACAGGAAGGTGGGGAACGGGATGGGCAGCATGTTGGTGCACTCGCCCAGGTTCAGCAGGATCGCCACGGCAGCCAGGATGAAGCAGATGGCGTAGACAGCCACACACCACTCCAGGGCCGGTTTGGACTGGTACAAACCGGGGTCACTGATGAAGGCGAAGATGATGCAGGCCACGAAGGTCTCCAGCACCTTGAGCAAGCCTGGCACCGTGGCCATATAGCCAGTGATCTCACCGGGCCTTGCCCGGGTCCAGGCCACCTCGGTGGCATAAGCCACGAAGGCAATGCACGAGAAGGCGGTGGCGGCGATGGCATGGTCCCGGGAGCGGCCGTGTGACAGGAACTGGACGTAGGTGGTGGGGTAGATGATCGAAGACGAGAGGCAGAAGAGGGCGGCATAGCAGGCGTAGGTGATGGGGAAGTTGCGCCAGGACAGGGGGAAGCGGGCCTGGAGGCCTCCTAGCTCCACGATGAGGATGATCAGGGTCACGGAGAAGCAGAAGCACCAGGTGAACATGGACCAGTTGCCCATGGGCCCTGTCCAAGCACCCACACTGGCCACCAATGAGAAGGCCACGCAGGTAGACAGCAGCTGCAGCAGGCGGAGGAGACCCAGAGGCTGCGTCAGGGCCCGAGGGGACCCCACGATGGTAGGGGAGCCCAGGCCTGAAGAGGACATGGTGGTCGTGACGGTGGTGCGGGTCACTGTCACCGGCATGGCTGGGGGGAGGGGAAGAACATACCCTAAGAAGATTCCAAGAGGAGAGGGTAGGTACCCCCTTCCCTCCCCTGAGGGTACAAAATCACCTGGACTCCAGCTGGGGGGAGTGTCAAGGGGGCCAGGCTGCAAACTGGAATAGTCCCAGCCTCTGGATGTTAGCCACCATCTCTCCTTCCAGGAACCCACCTGTCTTTCCGCCCACTCCGCGTCTCAAAACAGCGCCAAAGCCTCCCTTCCCTGGGATCCCATAAGCTCTCAAAAAACCCTCCTTCCCCCCTTTGGGTGCTCAGGGTGCTGCACCCAACTTCCTTCTTTCACCTCATAGGCCTGGATGCTTCCAACCCCCAAACATTCAAGCATTCACCCTCCACAAATGTATATTCTGGGGGGTTGGGGGGGCGCACATCTGATCAGAGCTTCCAAGGTCCCAGCTGGCCTCTCTGAGCATTGCTCCAGCTCCGGACAGGGTCAGCCCTCCCTCCTCTCAGCAGCCCCCTTCCGCTGCCCCCTCCAGAGCCAGAGTGGGCCTGCGCCCTCAGGTCTAACCACCCTCTGGGCTGTAGGTCTGGTGGCTGAGCGCCAGGGAGATTCTGCCTCCCTACAGCCCCTCCTGGGCACAAGCCAACCCCTTTCGGAACCCAACCATCTGGTGCCCCAGCCTGAGGGACTCAGCTGTGGGGGCCCTTCAGTTTCAGAGCCCAGGGCCCTGAGGCGCTCTCCCTGAACTTGCCCACACTCTGCTCTGGGCATCAGCGGGTGGCCCTAGAGGCCCTCAGGAACGGAGTCCAGTCTCCATGCCCGGACAGGGGTCCTCCCTCAGGCCCCGGGGTACCTGATCCCTTAACCCCTCCAAACCTCAGAAGACTTTTCTCAGCCGGGGTGGGGAAAAACTCCCTTCCAGGCCAGGGCACACCAGAGGCAACCGCCAAACGGACCGCAACTTCCGCCGGGGTCCGGGGCTCCAGCCCGGCCTCTGCCTCGGCCACGCACGCCCGGGGCTCTCCTCGGACCCAAGCGGCCAGGTACCTTCTGCCCGCCTCCCCGTGCAGGTACACCAGCGCCTGCTCTCTCGGGCCG